GATGCCGACAGGCTTTCGTCTGCTTGGAAATCTTTTTGCGACGAATTGGCATAGATCTATATAAAAGCCTTAATCAGGCTTAGGATGATCCTTGATAGATATTTTATTTATTTATTTATCTTTATTATTATTTATTAAACACACAGAAAATTTGTATGTATCACTTTCATTTATAGCGTGTTACCTTTTAATTTTTTGCATAACCGTTTATTTGAAATTCGCTTGTGTAATTTTTCAAATTTCCCATTTTCAAATTAGAGAAATAACTGATGATGAATGCTTAATGCATTTGAAAATGTTTTTATGTTATTAAAGAATTATGCTGGATAGTTGAATGGTTTTTATTTTTATTGACTTTATTCTCTAGTAAGCAAGTATACAATTATTTAACAAAACAGAATATATAAATTTAAATTTGTTCCTACAAAATATTATTAAAAATGCTTTGTGTGTTAATATAAAAGCTTTTAAACATTCTCAGACCCTGTCAACTATTTAAAATCTTAATTTTAAAGTTCTTGTAACTTTCCATTTCTCTTTCTCTCTTCTATTATTTAATTAAATTCTTTATTTATATTCTAAAGCACATATTCTAGTATTTCCTTTTAAATAAGAACAATAAATTTAGCATGTTATTCCTACTTATCTTTGTCATTATTGCAGAGTATTTATTACATCTATCATTTCTTATATTGTCGTTGTTGTTTTGCTAATATTGATATTTCCATAACAGATCTAAATAAATATTTTTTCTATTTCATTTTCTTAATTGTGATGATAAGAGTAAAATTATATTATGTTGCATCTTTGGTACGTCTTTATTAAATTTCTACTGAAGACAAACAACTTTGATTAGAATGTCTCTAAATATCATTAATATTAGATAAAACAGAATGTGTATATGTATACATTTATAAAACAGCAATGTTTGTTTTAAGTCTTTTCACATTATTAATTGTGTGTAACATACAGTAGAATATTGTTTTAATAGATCACTCAGGCTGCCAAAAATCATCTGTTGTTCTGAAAATTTGTTATATCACAAACAACAGATTTCCCACACACCCAGGAAAATATTTGTTATTTAATTTGAATAATTGAATAATTTCAAGTATTTCTTATATTAAGGGATTTACCCTTAATATAAGAAATACTTGAAATTATTCAGTTTCTTGAGATCTCTGTTCTATAGAAACAGGTATGTTACAAAATAGTATACTATGCCATATGTATGTATGTATGACAAAGCTGATGGAAACTGTCAGTGCAAAAAGAAGCAAATTACATATGCTTATTAGCACTTCACCTGACTTTGATTTATTAGAAAAAACTTGTCCATTTTGGTTGTTTTGATATTTCTTTTCTGTCTATTAAACACAACTACTGCTTGATATTAGCAATTCCAAGTGTAGCCTGTTTGTTCATGCTGAAACTTGTCAGGAATGTCTTTGTGACTTGGAAAGACTGTGTCCTTGCTAAATTTTAATGCTACACTTTGATCAGTGTCAGAATGTTCATCAGGCTCCTCCTCAATCTTATCAGCCTGCTGACATTTTGTAAAGTTTGTCAATTGTACATCCCAGATATAACAAGTATGTCATCAAACTTTACAAATTCCCAAATATTAACCAAATTTGAAAAAACACAAAGTTTACAATAAATGGGGTTAGAAAAAAGCCCTTACTTCAAGTTATGGATCATTTAAAAGGATGTAAAATTACATTGATTTGGTGAGACCTTACGAAAAAAATCTGTTGTTCCAAGATCCATTAAAATGATATTCTACTGTATATATGAATTTTAGAATACTAATTTTAATTAATACAGCACTTCTTTTAATGAAAAATAAATTTAACACTGCATGCATTTAATTATTACACAAAATTTATAAAATTCTTTATTTTCAGAATAATGATCTTGAAAAAACATTAGATAAATTAGAAACAGAAACACTCAAAAAGGATAATGATGAGAAAACGATATCACCTGTCATAAGGAGAAAACAGCAAAAAAAAATGTCTGATGAAGAAGTTATAGCAACATTAAGTAAATGATTTAATTTATAATCTGAATTAATTATACATAGATAAGACTTTTCTTATTAATATTTTATTTGGTTTATCAGGAACTATTGTTAATCCAGGTGATCCCCATTCCAAATATGATTTGCTTAAAAATATTGGTTCAGGGTAAGTTTTTATTGAAAATTTTTCATTTTTAATGAAAAATTAATACATCTTGTGTACTTTGTATGTAATAAAAATGAAAATGCAGTCTCTATAATATTACATTTGTTGTATAATACTATTAATATAAATATAATATTTACTTGATATAATGATAGACTTACAAATGCAATATCGTAAGTACTGCTATAGGATGCCCACTCAAATTCACATACAAATTTCCTGACTCTCAATTTTTCCTAGAAAAATAGTTTTTTTTTTTTTTGTTCATTTTTAATTTTTACGGGATGTGAGCCTTTACAATTTTATAATTCATACTTACATTACAAAATAAACAATACTAAAATAATTCATTACAGTTTTAATTCAGAAACTCAATAATTAATTTAGTAATTTTATATTAGTATTATTAACAGATTTCAATTCAATGGACTTCAAATTTTTAACAAACAAAATTCTATATTTCCTGAGTTTGGCATTTGTCCATTATTTTCTATAATGAAACAGATTTTAAAATTCATTCTTGTTATGAGTGTTATTTTTATTTTTAATTTATATTCAAGATATTTTCAAGTAAAAAAGTCATAGGTAATCATTTGCTTACTTTTTTACCAATAATAAAATTACTTTGAATTATCTAAATATCAAATCTTCAGTAACAAAATATTTGAGATAAACATGTACACCACTGTTCTTATAGATCTTTTTTATCAGACTGCTTGGAAATTATGTTTGCAAAGAAGTATTCAATATTTCACTGTTTATGTGTCAATACAGTATAATACAAGGAGATTCTGCAGGCTCCAATCTGTGATGTTAACTATAAAAATGTGTGTGGAAAAAATAATTTATGAAATATTTTTTAAATAATAGGAATTTTGAATATATTTAATGTGTAAACAGAGATGAAATACTTAATTTAAAATCTTTGTGTGTAATTGTCTTTTATATATGTATACATATTATAACATTTAAATCTATATTGTGTTTTAGAGCTTCTGGAATGGTTTATACTGCAATTGACAAAGTGACAGGAGAAAAGGTTGCTATTAAAAAAATGGACTTATCTCAACAACCTAAAAAGGAATTGATAATAACAGAGATTTTGGTTATGCGTGAAAATAAGTAAGTAGTTAATTTTTTAGGTTGTGAATTTAAAATACAATTACTTGATTACATTATTTCTTATAATTCACATTAAAAATACAACCTTTATTGAAATGTGTAAAAAAAAGTTGTTTTGTTGGTTGGTTTGAAAAAATATGATGCTTTATTTAGATTTTGACTTCATTACAAATTTACAAAAGATTACCAATTGTTCACCTGATATGAAACCATATTTGTTGAATTTGTGGCCAAATATTCACAAACAATAAGAGCATTGAGAACAGGGGCATTATCATGGTACAAAATCCATGAATTTTCTTGCCACAAATCAGGTCTTTTATAACAAATTGCTTTGCACAAACAATGCAAAATGCTCAAATAATTGTAGAAATTTGATGCACAACACCAAGACAATGAAAGAAAACAGTCAGCATAACCTTGATTTTTGAGCACCTCATTGATGGTGCTTGAAAGTCTCACTTCACACCTTTCAAGTTCCATTCACTTGATTGTTGAGCTGTTTTGGTGTCAAAAGCATAGATCCATGTTTCATCACCCATAATGATGCAGTTTAATAATGATTTGCCTTGAGTAAGCCTTCTCTTGGCCACTCAAACATGATGATGCTTTTGGAAAATATAACATTTTCAACTTGAGAAGTGACGTGCTGCAAGCTCAAATGATCTTTTAAAATTCCTTGACAAGATCTAAATGATACAATAACATCTCTAGTTGTTAAAAAATTACCATTGAGTACCAAATCTTCTGACATGAGCAATGTTGAAATTGATGGTCTCCCAGAATGTGGTTCATCTTATCTTATCAAGGCTCGGCTTTCCCTAAAAATCTTATACCATTCAAACTTTTGTTTTTGATAGATTATCATCACTAAAGGCTTTTTGCAGTAATTCCATTGCAAAAACAAAGTGTAATTCAGCAAAAGAACATGCATTAAATTAACATTTTGAAAAATTGCTGGCACAAAAATTCTTTACACACAAAACAAATGTTTATTTGCAAATGAAAACAGATGATGACATACAGATTGCAGTTAGATGTTGATGAAAGTTTACCAAATGACAAAAAAAATGACGACATTGTCCTTTTACATTCACAGTTTAATTGAATCATTCCCAATACTTTTTTATTACAGTGGTACAACATTCAAGATATAAATGGAAGAAGTTGCTTATTCATATTTTTCAAGTTTACAGCTGCTTAAATCATTTTCAAATACAGTAGAGTCTCAAAAACTCAGCCTAATGTGGACTGAAGGGTGGCCAAGTTTGTGAAAATGCCGGGTTATCGGGAATGGGGTTAAAAAAAAATAAGTATGAGTGTTTCCTCAGAAAATACTGTACTGTACTTGTATGTATTGTTTACTTGAGAATACAGCAGAGAATAAACTGCCCAAATACCCTTAAACAAAGGAAAAGTACATCGTTTATGAAGGCATAGAGCCTTTACTACATGAAAATGAAAATTAATGAATACACTGTGTACAGTAATTTACCTGATAAGATAGAACTCAGAAAAATACTTTGAGGCATAAAGCTATCTATAATGAAAATTAATTAACTAAGGATTTTTTTGCCCTGCCATGGTATGGCCGAGTTATCCAGACTGCCGGGTTATCGAATGCCAAGTTTTCGAGACTCTATTGTATAATGTTTTCAAAGTTTTCTGGGATTGGATATTGCATCTAGTACTGTTTAAATAATGCTAACATATTCTTTATCTTTTAACTTAAAAGTTAGATTTTCAGTGATTGTTTTGTTATTATTCTAAATTATTCCTTGTACATAGAGAATTTATTTTTTAATATTATATCTGAAACTTTGAATTAAATATATATAAAAGAATCTAAATTTAAATCAGAGTGTTTTAATAAAAGCAAAATTTGGTTCCAAGCAGTTTTGGATTTGTATTATCTTTGAGAAACTCATAAAAAGTTCCAAACATCAAGTTGTCATATCATGGAAGCAAAAAACAAATAATGTTCTGTAATAAGCATACATATAATTATTTTACTTAGTATTTTTAACATTAGTAAAGAAAATTAACAAAATATATAAACTTATGGAATTCCATTATTGTAGTATTATAAACAACTTTAAACAAACATAAAACAAAGTTTAAGTAAATGTAGGATGTACTGTATTTAATGTTTGAACTTTTTTGAAATTGCAATTGACAATGTTGTTTACACCCCACTTCATAAATTCAGACCGATTGATTCAGCAACTACAACATTATCTTTGGATACTATAACCATGTGTGTGTGTACATTTGGACTTTATATATGTACTAGCAGACCCCACCACATGTTATTGTGGCTCAAAATGTATCTATTATAAATGTATAACATTTCCCCCCTGGGGGGAGGAATTTTTTGAAAAATCCCTTCTTAGTGTATCCTATTAAAATGCAATCAAAAACACAAAAAAACTGCATCTAAAATAGTATAATAGAAGCCAAGTTTTTCACTGTACGCCTTAATCCTGTCCTCTCTTCCCCAGTGGGGGAATTTCGACATGTATATTATATAAAAACACGTGCGTATTCGAATGCAATGTTGTGTCAAAATTTCAAAGGAATCGGTAGGAACAAACAAACATTACATTTTTATTTAGATAGATAGATAGATGATGATCTGTTTTAGTTCATCATCACAGAAAAGAGAACTTAGGTCATCATACTCACAGAGTTAGCGCCATCTGTTGGACATAAAAGCCTTAATCCTAGATGATATCTTTTAATTTATATGAATGTTTAACTGAATAATATACAGCCTACGTCCACCCTGAAGTTCCATTCTAAATATTGGTGAAAGAATTTTTGAAATCGGATGTGTAGTTTCGGAGATTAGCCCCTGTATACAAACTTACAAACATTACCTCTTTATAATATTAGTATAGATATGTTATGAACAAAGTGATTAATATGGGCATTATTCATAATGCCTGGTCATTATGAATAATGACCAACAAAATTGGGCATTGTAATAATTTATCAAATTGACCAGTCATTATGAATACTGCTATCATCTAGTTGGGTAAAGTGCTGAGAATGCATTGAACAGTGATCATCTAAAATATGCTAGCCAATCAGCACTTGCATCTGAGTTGCATGTGCGTGTTGCATTTAGTATCGAATTTGGTGGCAGTCACAACTGTTTGTGCTTTTGACGAATTCCTCCCAGAGGGGAGATGCCGGCAAGCCATGTATTGTTTAACATCACTAGATATTGATTCACAGTAGTTCTTGAACACGCGTATCAATAACTAGTAACGTTAAACAATCAGTGGCTTCCCTCTGGGAGGAATCTGTTGGGAGCACAAACAGTTGCAACCATCGCCATGACAGTGCACATAGATAAAATTTTACCATTTAACCTATATAGTTAAAAGTGCTTAGTTTTAAAAGATTACATGTTCATATATACTAAATTGCCAAACGATCGCCTAAATATCAGGCTATTATATGGCTAATTAAATGATTAGAATAAAGTAATTTGTCATTAGAGGTAGGCGTTAGGCACCATCTCTTAAGTAAATTAATAATTAAAATTAAATAAATAAATTATTAAATTAATTTTAGAACCTTCTGGAATAAAAGAACTGGCCCGGGACGGGGCTTGAACCCGCAACCTCCGCTTGCCATGCGGTGCGCTTGCCAGTTACGCCACCTGGACCC